CATTATGTGTGTGTATATATCTGTAACATTATACTAGGGGTAGCTACAGTCATCCTACTTCTGGCACTACTTGTACCCAAACCCAAGAGTAACCTAGGAATAAGACAGGGTGCTCTTTTGAAGGAACCTAAACCCTAAAGAAGGGGGATCAAGGGGCCTACTCTGGGTCCTAGGTAGCGACTTCAAGCAGGGGGAGGCGGTGGGTGGATATTTTGGGGGGAGGTCTCGGTATCAGGGTTCAGGGCTTCGGGTTGTAGGGCATCTGGGGGGGGTTAAGGGTTTAGGGTTTCGGGTTCAGGGTTCACGGTTCAGGTGCGGATGCTTTCAGGGCAGCACTCCGGACGCTAGGATTCAAGGCTCTTCTGGTAGAAGGTAGATGCGGATGGGTACACGCCCCACCCCCACATCCGAAACCCTAAAACCTGAACCCTTAACCCCAAGCGCGTCACGTTGATCTGAAACCCGGAGCTCTTGATCCAGCCTTGTCTCCACAAGGACCGGCTAGTTTTTTGTGACACAAATCTTATAAAAACAATGGAGATGGCCGAGATAAGGCCTCAATCTTGGGCCTTCTACCACACCTGTTCTCCTGCACGTCTTGAGCCGGAGGCTCAAAAATTCACAAAACTCCCCTGAGAACCTTAATAAACATGTATGTTTAATATCCTGTCGGGTTTTACATAAACAAAGAAATAATTCCCAAGGGGGATATAGTTTAGGGGCTCAGGGCAATTTGGGGGTTTACGAAAATAGGGGACCCGAATAAAGAACCCCCAAAGTAGTAGGATTCCCTTATACAAATGACCCCAAACCCTAAACCCTAAACCCTAAACCCTAAACCCTAAACCCTAAACCCTAAACCCTAAACCCTAAACCCCAACTTCGGAAACCACCATTTGGGGGCCCCAAAAGGGCTAAAAGGGCGATCAGTCCCAGTGGCTTCTCACAAAGCTGACCGAGGCGGCCCTCCTTGAAGAGCTTCTTGCCTCGGTTTAGGGTTTAGGGTTTAGGGTTTAGGGTTTAGGGTTTAGGGTTTAGGGTTTAGGGTTTAGGGTTTAGGGTTTAGGGTTTAGGGTATAGGGTATAGGGTTTAGGGTTTAGGGGTTTAGGGTTTAGGGTTTAGGGTTTAGGGTTTAGGGTTTAGGGTTTAGGGTTTAGGGTTTAGGGTTTAGGGTTTAGGGTTTAGGGTTTAGGGTTTAGGGTTTAGGGTTTAGGGTTTAGGGTTTAGGGTTTAGGGTTAGGGTATGCCCCCTTAAAGCACTTAAAGCCCTTAAAGCCCTTAAAGCCCTTGAAGCCCTTAAATCCCTTAAAGCCCTTAAAGCCCTTAAAGCCCTCAAAGCCCTTATTAAGCCCTTAAAGCCCCCGTAAAGCCCTTAAAGCCCTTAAAGCCCTTAGAGCCCTTAACGCTCTTAAAGCCCTTAAAGCCCTTAAAGCCCCTTAAAGCCCTTAAAGCCCTAAACCCTAAACCCTAATATTCCCAGACGATGATCCTCTTGAACCCAAGAAGAGAAAACATAAGGTATCCCAAGGGCCCAACCAGCTAAGCTTTGGGGCAACTTCGCTCTTGCCTGCAACCAGGATGGGTGGCCGCTTATGGGGCTCAGCGCGCTACTCTCTGGGTACCCTAAACCCTATACCCTAAACCCTAAACCCTAAACCCTTAAGAAGCCTTGGAGGCTCATGGGTACTTATAGCCCCCAATGATAAGTGCCAGAGCAAGGGCTTTAAGGGCTTTAAGGGCTTTAAGAGCTTTAAGGGCTCTAAGGGCTTTAAGGGCTTTAAGGGGCTTAATAAGGGCTTAATAAGGGCTTTAAGGGCTTTAAGGGCCTTAAGCCGAAATTTTTTCAGACTGAGTCTTCCGCACTGGCGCCCTGAAGCTACCGATTCCTAGCCACGAGAGTAGCCTGGCTCAAAGGGGCTGATATCGGGGAACCGAAACCCCCCCCAAAAAAAGGGAATAAGGTCCTACTATGGGACCGAACCTAAACTGCACGCTGACGACAAGAGGCATCTTTTACCCTCAACCCTAAGCCCTAGACCCCAGACCCCAAAACCCCAAGCCAATGATGCGTCTACACAAGCCAGCGCCAGGAAACCGTGTCAAAAACCCTAAACCCTAAACCCTAAACCCTAAACCCTAAGGCACCCACCAGGGCCCTTAAGACGCATGGAGGGCCAGACCACCCACACGGCATAAACTCACGGACCATAGGCGGTTTCGCACAGGACATAGGGGCCCTGTGGGAAAAACCACCCCCAACCCGACCCCACCCCCCCCTACCCCCCCCTACCCCCGCCCCTACCCCCCTACCCCCCCCCCTACCTACCCCCCCACCTACCCACCCCCCACCCCTCCCCTGTCCCCCCAGCCCCCCCACCCCCCCCCCACCCCCTCCCGGCGGTAGGGCCCGCTCCATATTTTAGGGATGGTTTGGGGTTTAGGGTTTAGGGCTAAGGGCCACACGAGGGCACAATAAAGGTGCGATTCTTCGTCGCCCACCAAAAACAACCGCAGCACCCTAATACAGGGACCTCCTGATTTTGAAATGGTAGTTTGACCTTCTTTCATCTCAGGACAAAAAGAGTGGATGCTGTTGGGAAACCATTTTGCTTCCCGCGCTATCCCACAACCCCTTTAAGATATCAAAGGGCAGAGTTTTCCTTGTTGGTTTAGGGTTTAGGGTTTAGGGTTTAGGGTTTAGGATTTTAGGGTTTAGGGTTTAGGGTTTAGGCTTTAGGGTTGAGGGTTTAGGGGGGAACAGGCAGGAGGAGGTGCAGTCGCAGCAGCATGTCAACAAGGGTCGTCCTACTGCCAGCAGCCCAGCCTCTCGACCCAAACCCTAAACCCTAAACCCTAAACCCTAAACCCTAAACCCTAAACCCCAAACCCTAAACCCTAAACCCTAAACCCTAAACCCTAAACCCTAAACCCTAAACCCTAAACCCTAAACCCTAAACCCTAAACCCATCCAGCTCAGAGGCAAATGTCGCGGTAGTTCCGGATCATGATGCCCACTTGATCCTTGGGCTTTTGGACTTAGGGGTGTCGAGAATCGCGAATGCCCTGAGACTCAGCCCGAGAGTTCGGGTCTTGGGTTTGGGGTTTAGGGTTTATGGGTTTAGGGTTTAGGGTTTAGGGTTTAGGGTTCATGGGTTTATGGGTTTATGGGTTTAGTGCTTGGGCTTAGGGTTTGGGGGGGCTTGTAGATGGACTTAGAGTTCATGGCAACGAAGGCTTGAGACTTTTTCCTGCACGGCAGCACTAAAGACCTTCCTGCAGGGCGACCCCCACATCATCTCATGGCGTATCCGCCCGCCGAATGCTTGCCGTCTTCTTGGCGTTTCTCTGACAGCAGGCGCACAATCTCCTCCTCATTCGTTCGGCAGCTTGCCAGTGGCACCTTCGGAGTGGCTTTCTGACGAGTTCTTTCAGGAGATGGGCGCCTTACATCCCCGGCACTAACGTAGTTACCTCAGCTTCTCACCAAAAGAACATGTAAGCTTAGGGGGAGGGGGGGTCTCTCTACACTGAACTAGGGGCCTTTTTTGCGCACCCTATATGTCTATATGTATGAAATTTGTTTATTTGTTTACTTCTTTATCCATTACCTATCTCTCTCTCTCTATATGTATATAGTTACGTAGTTTAATATCCATTTTTTATTCAAATAGAAATATCAGTGTATATTTACATATGTATATGTAAGGCTCCATATTGCCTGATCTAAGGGACTCCCTCTTCAGGCTTCCTCAGCTTAAACCATAGACCCTAAACCCTAAACCCTAAACCCTAAACCCTAAACCCTAAACCCTAAACCCTAAACCCTAAACCCTAAACCCTAAGCCTGGTGTGGATCCGCCCGCGCAGACAGCAGCAGCTGCACGATCGGCGCGCGGCCCAGGGCGCAGGCGCAGCCGAGGGCGCCGTCGTTCAGGTCGGCGCGCGCCTCAGGGCAGTAGGGTTTCGAGTTTAGGGATTAGGGTTTGGGGTTTAGGGTTTGGGGTTTGGGGTTTGGGGTTTAGGGTTTAGGGTTTGGGGTTTGGGGTTTAGGGTTTAGGGCTTAGGGTTTAGGATTTAGGGTTTGGGGCTTAGGGTTTAGGGTTCAGGGTTTAGGGTTTAGGGATTAGGCAGTCCCAGAATCGATGCAAGAAACATGCCACACTAAGCCCTAAGGAATCGGTCGAAGTGGATCTTGGGGAATAAGGTTTATGGTTTAGGGCTTAGGCTTTATGGTTTGGGGTTCAGGCTGCAGGGTTCCGGGCGCAGAGTTAGGGTTCGGCATTTAGGGTTTTCGGGTTCAGGGCTTAGGGTCCCTAAGCCCTGAAGCGCACGCACGCGCGGTGACCTCTAGTTGGCATTATTTTAATTAGCGGTATTCTTTGTATTCTTAGCATTGTTGAGCATTGTTTTGGGTTCATGGTGCCCTAAACCCTAAACCCTGGTCCCAGCCTCCAGCAGCAAGCGCACGACGTCGGGGGAGCCGTACAATGCAGCGTGCCGCAGGTCGCCCAACGCAGGACTGGCTCGGGCATCCTTTCACATTAGGGTTTAGGGTTTAGGGTTTAGGGTTTGGGGTTTAGGGTTTAGGGTTTAGGGTTTGGGGTTTGGGGTTTGGGGTTTGGGGTTTGGGGTTTAAGGCTTAGGGTTTAGGGTTTAGGGTTTGGAGTTTGGGGTTTGGGGTTTGGGGTTTGGGGTTTAGGGTTTGGGGTTTAGGGTTTAGGGTTGAGGGTTGAGGGTTTGGGGTTTGGGCTTTGGGGTTTGGGGTTTGGGGTTTGGTGTTTTTGGGGGGAGTTGGGGTCTACTGATTTCCCCAAAAGAGGGAGTGCCCCCTTCGGCTTCAAGCGTTTAGGACTTCATGAAGGCTTCATGCAGGTCTGTATGGGCTTTATGGCAGAGTTAGGGTTCTGTCAGGGGACGCTTGTGGCACCTACGGCGTTTTGGAGTGGAAAACCGAGTTTTCAGGCTGGGATTGACGGTTGTGGAGTTCGACGACAGCTGCCTATGTGAGAAAATGATCTGCTGTGGTCGTTCCCACGTCAGCGTACAGAGCCTACACACCCAACATTACTTCAAAGCCCAAACCCTAAACCCTAAACCCTAAACCCTAAACCCTAAACCCTAAACCCTAAACCCTAAACCCTAAACCCTAAACCCTAAACCCTCTCATCTGCCCAGGCATCCAAAAGAAGACCCAGGAGCTCGGTAAAGCCCAGCCCGCTGGCTGCAGACAACGCGCCACTCTTGGGCTGCTCCGGGCAGGCTTCAAGAAGCAGGCGCATGGCAGCCACGCTGTTCACCCGACAGGCCTTTGTCTCTCTCATGGCACCCTAAACCCTAAACCCTAAACCCTAAACCCTAAACCCTAAACCCTAAACCCCTAAAACCCTAAACCCTAAACCCTAAACCAGGCCTTTGTCAAGGGCGTCTCGCCGTTCTGGTCCGCCTTGGCTATGTCCGCACGGGCCTTCACTAGGAGATCCATGGCCTCCTTGGTAGCCCCGTATCTATCTTGCAATAGGGTTTAGGGTTTAGGGTTTAGGGTTTAGGGTTTAGGGTTTAGGGTTTAGGGTTTAGGGTTTAGGGTTTAGGGTTTAGGGTTTTGGGTTTTGGGTTTTGGGTTTGGGGTTTTGGGGTTTAGGGTTTAGGGTTAGTTACTTCAGAAGCAAAACAAAGGTTTTGTTACCTTACAAGGGAACCCATAAGCGAAAAACACAAAAAATGTGTTGTTACAAAATAGGGGAACCCATATAAGCAACAAAAAAGGTAAAGGCCACCACTGGGCTGCCCAGTCTCTAAATCGACACAGGCCTGGTGGAGAGGCGTCCGGCCTCGGCTGGAGCGAAGATCCCTATCAGCGCCGGCTTCGAGCAACACGCGCATGACCTCCTGGGCAGCACAAGTTGACACATTTGGGGGTTTGAAAACATTGGGGGGGGGGGGGGGGGGGGGGGCCCGACAGAAGCCCCCCGAAATAGTAGGAGTCCCTTGTCATAAGGACACCAATAGGGTTACACCTAATTTCGGAAACCACCAGTTATACCAAGGGTTGCCTTCCTTTGTTTGGGGGGAGGAGTTGCTTTAATTCAAGGCCTGCCAAGCATCGTAGTGGCCCTCTTCGGTTGCCACAAACAGGGGAGTCCTCCCCTCCGGGCTGTCCTGCACGTTGTGCGCCGCGCGGGCCTCCAGGAGTAGCCTCACGGCCTCCACGTGGCCAGCCTGGGAGGCAGCCCAAAGCGGCGTTCTCCGGGTCTGGTCGGTTTTCCCATCCGCCTCCGCGTTCGCCTCTAACATCAACTTCTCTGAACCCAAAAGCAAAAACCACTGGGTGTAAGGGTGGCAGGGTTTAGGGTTCGGGTCTACTTGGAGGTTCATGGGTACTTATACCCCCGATTATAAAGTCTACTTAAGGCTTACTTATGGGACTTCGGGGCCGTTTTTAGGGCTTAGGGGTGGGACGTTCCCCCTTATACTAACAATCCTTAATGGGGATTCATGAACCCTAAACCCTAAACCCTAAACCCTAAACCCTAAACTTGCCTTTTAATGACTGTTAGTAACATCCCAAGTTTAGGGTGTAGGGTTTTAGGGTTGAGGGCCTCCAAGAGAAGCTGCACGACATCAGCACGCCCTTGTTGAGCGGCGTACTTTAAGGGCGTCCAGAACTCCACGACATTGGCGTCCTGGCCCTTGCTCAGCATCTCTTCGATCTGCGGGGCTTGGGGTTTAGGGTTTAGGGTTTAGGGTTTGGGGTTTGGGGTTTAGGGTTTAGGGTTTAGGGTTCAGGGTTTAGGGTTTGGGGTCTAGGGTTTAGGGTTTGGGGTCTAGGGTTTAGGGTCTAGGGTTTAGGGTTTAGGGTTTAGGGTTTAGGGTTTAGGGTTTAGGGTTTAGGGTTTAGGGTTTAGGGTTTAGGGTTTGGGGTTTGGGGTTTGGGGTTTGGGGTTTGGTGTTTACGGTTCACCTACTGTTTCCCAGTAAGACATGAGGGAATTAGGGTACCTTGTAGAATCCCTAAAAAGGCATAGGGATTTTGTAGGGTGCCTCATTCATTCCCTACGAAGAACCAGTAGGTTCAGGGTTTGGGGTTCAGGGCAGACATTCGAATCAGACCAAAGCGGAGACTTTCCCACCCCGCCCCCCCCCCCCCGCCCCCCGGAGGCCCCTAGACCCTAAACCCTGAACCTTAAACCCTGAACCCTAAACCCTAAACCCTGAACCCTAAACCCTAAACCCTAAACCCTAAACCCTAAACCCCAGAAACCCTAAACAGGCCTCTTCGGCACCTTTCGTTCTGACCGCGTCGACGAAGAGATGCACGTCCGAAGCAGTGGTTCCAGTCAAGGGCAGCAGGAGTAGCTGCAGGTCCTGAAACGGGCGGTTCTTTAGGGAATGACAGGGAGCTAGGTACCTTCTACACTCCTTTTAAACGGGTGTCTATGGAGGGATGAAAAGGTACCTAACTCACTCATTCCCTTCTAGGAACCAGGAAGCCTAAACCCTAAACCCTAAATCTAAACCCTAAACCCTACACCCTAAACCCTACACCCTAAACTAAACCCTAAACCCTAAACCGTCCATGGGCGTCTCGAGCTTCACGCCATCCTCCAGGGGCACGCCCCCATGCAGAAGCCGCTGCCGAAAGCGCGGTACCCCGCACACCTTGCGGATAACTTCAGGGTTCAGGGTTTAGGGTTTAGGGTTTAGGGTGTCACATTTAGCTTCCTCTGACGGTTGCAAGAATGAAGCAAAGGGTATTGAGTTCTGTTTGCTTCCAGTCACGTTCAGGGGCCAGAAATCCTGCACCCGTACTTCGAAACCCTAAACCCTAAACCCTAAACCCTTACACTCTGAAGGCCCAGGGTTATGGGATTCGAGGAGGGGCCCTTGTAAAGGGACCTCAGGGCTGCTGTAGGGGCTTCTTCGGTATATAGGGGCTATATAAGGTGTATATATATATATACTTATTTATTTATTTATTTGTTTATTTATTTATTTATCTATATCCATATATAGTTTTTTTATATTTATATATATATATATATTTATATGTACAGAAAGAGAGATAGGGCTGAACAGGGGAATAAGACTGTGGGTCCCTTCTAGATGTCCCTCCTTCCCTCAACCAAGCCGTTGGGGCTGAGAGTTCGGCACCATTGATACATGAATTTTCATATTACATGTGTACATATACCTGGCAAGTAGATGTATGCATGGTCATGTACGTGTGTCTATTTCTGTGTGTGTTGTAGATATGTTATGCATGTGTATATTAGCATATCTATATATATATATATACGTGCAAATATACATAGACTAGACATATGCACCTATACGCAGAATATACACAAAAAATGGAGAAATGTTTAATGCGAACATAAACTCCAAAAGCGAAGCTTTCGGTCACAGCTCGGTCGAAACGTTTGGGGTCAAAACGCTTTGGGGACCCAGCCCCAAAGCCCTACACCCCCAAACCATATGTAGTACCGTACACGTTTCTTGTACCCCTAAATGGACATCCATGTATTTTTAGAAAAGGGAACCTTATATACACTCAAAAAGCCAGGGTTAAAAACCCTACTTCATATGTTGAGAGCGTATACAAGGAAAGCCAGATGAGGTTTTGGGTTTGCTTGTGAGCTTCAAGGCACTTCTAACCCTAATTCTAACTGTACCTATAAGGTCCCCTAAGTAGGTTGTCAGCAGACTCATCTTTGGGGTTAGAAGTAACCATGAACCCCTAGACCCTAAACCCTAAACCTGAACCCTATACCCTAAACCCTAAACCCTAAACCCCAAACCCTAAACCCTAAACCCTAAACCCTGGGGTTGGGGGCTGGGGCGCGTGGACTGCCGGCCTTCTGCAGCCTGCGCTTCAGGGAGCGCGCGTCCGGCGCATCTTCGAGAGCCACGGAAACCAGCTGATCGCCCGAAATGCCGAAGACACGCAGCATGGCCAGTCGTTTAGGGGTTTAGGGGTTTAGGGTTTAGGGGTTTAGGGGTTTAGGGGTTTAGGGTTTAGGGTTTAGGGTTTAGGGTTTAGGGTTTAGGGTTTAGGGTTTAGGGTTTAGGGTTTAGGGTTTAGGGTAGTCTACTACAGGGGCCTTGGTAATTAGAACAAGGTATTGGGAGTCATTCTAGTACGACTATATAGGGGCCATAAGGGAAGAAGATTCGGTACATATTCCGACTCCTTTATTGCAACGTCTAGAGCTTGGGTGGGGAGTCCAGGAAACAGGAGTGGAGAACCCCTCCCTGATACTTACATGTCCTCCCTAGTACCCCCCTTCTGGAACCTAGCTATTCCACACCGAAAAGCCACATATGGCAGTTGCGGGGCCACTGCCTCAGAGAGCCGCGAAAGCCACAAGAAAACAATAAAAATCATGGGACAAAGGCTCGTACCCCTAAGGATGTGTCCCTACGAGTTTCCTCAATTTACTCTTAGTATTGGCCCTTAAATTCCCTGAAAGGATCTTTCAAAAGATTCCCAAACCCAAGGGTACAACCTTAGGGGTCCGAGGTAGAGTCCTATTCAACCTCAGCACGAAGCCCTAAACCCTAAAACCTAAACCCTAAACCCCAAATCCCGTAGCGATGTTTTCGTTCTCATCGATCAGGTATTTAACTTCGTGGCAGTGATATTGGCTTTCGTGATGAAGTCCGTTGACGGAGGCACGAACGCTCAACTACGTATTGATTTGTGAAAAGTTTGCAACAAGAAAACAAACCTCGCTCCGCGCAGATATCTTTAAGCCTTCAAGCCTACCCCCCCCCCCCCTCAAACAAACTCACCACCCTGAACCCTGAGCCCTAAATCCTGATGCTGCACCTGCTTTAGTCACTATAGTGTGTTCCGCCCGGAATGTTTTTCCCCTCCTTGGGACGGTCCCGGAAGCTTTTTACAGCAGATGGGTCTGTATGAATCTGACAGGGACAGAAAGGCCCGGCTATTGATTTTGAAGGCGCGCCGCACGAAAGCTTCTTACGAACCTGCGGACCCCGCCCTAGACCCGCAGGGTTCTGATCAGCCTCCCGCGAACTTGACTTTACTCCTAGGGGCACCTACTAAAGCCGGTGCGACATGAAAACCCTAAACCATAAACCCCTAAACTGCCCTAAACCCTAAACCCCCAAAGTCCTAAACCCCAAAACCCAAAACCCTAAACCCTAAACCCCAAACCCAAGAAACCCCCAACGCCTCGGAAGCCTCCCCTGAGAAATCTGGGAGTTTACGAACATAAGGGTCCCTTGCCCACATCGTAGGGTTCCTTTAGAATAAGGACCCCCAATAATAAGGTACCCCGAATTTCGGAAACCGTAAACCCTAAACCCCAAACCCTAAACCCCAAACCCCAAACCCTAAACCCAAACCCCAAACCCGAAACCCCAAACCCTAAACCCGAAACCCCAAACCCCAAACCCTAAACCCCAAACCCTAAACCCAAACCCCAAACCCTAAACCCTAAACCCTAAACCCCCAACCCCAAACCCCAAACCCCAAACCCTAAACCCTAAACCCTAAACCCCAAACCCTAAACCCTAAACCCTGAACCCTAAACCCTAAACCCTAAACCCTAAACCCCAAACCCTAAACCCTAAACCCTAAACCCTAAACCCCAAACCCTAAACCCTAAACCCTAAACCCCCCCATCTGCAGCCGCAGGGGCCAGGCTTTGCACGGCCGCCTCCTTGGAGGTCCGAGCCGCCTCCAGGCAGAGGAGCTGCAGGCCGCCTCCAAAGTTTCGGGTTTAGGGTTTAGGGTTTAGGGTTTAGGGTTTAGGGTTTAGGGTTTAGGGTTTAGGGTTTAGGGTTTAGGGTTTAGGGATTTAGGGATTTAGGGATTTAAGGATTTAGGGATTTAGGGATTTAGCTTTTGGAGTTTGGGGTTTAGGGTTTCGGGTTTAGGGTGGGATTTTAGCGCGTTCGGTCGGCCGCTTGCATGCTGACGACCTGTACGAGCCAGGAACCCTATACCCTAAACCCTAAACCCCAAACCCTAAACCCTAAACCCTAAACCCTGAGCCCTAAACCCTAAACCCGACGAAGGTGGGACCGGGGGCTCATCTCCTTTGGCGATTGAGCACACCTGGCCACAGAACCGCAAGAAAGCGCGTAGCGGCTCGGGGGTTTGACCAGCCGTGGAGGGTTTCGGGTTTAGGGTTTAGGGTTTAGGGTTTAGGGTTTAGGGTTTAGGGTTTAGGGTTTAGGGTTAAGGGTTAAGGGTTAAGGGTTTACGGTTTGGCTGTCTGGGATTTAGGGGTTACGGATAAGGGATTTAGGGATTAGGGGCTTCGGGTTTAATTAGACGTTTGGAGGTTTAAAGTTTAGGGGTTCAGGGGTTGAGGGTTTTGAACTTGGCACGGGGGTGAAGCAAGCCATTGGCTAAGTAAGTCTTGGTTTGCGGTTTCAGGGTTGGGGTTTGGGATACAGACTTTTGGGCTTAGGGTTTAGGGTTTAGGGCGTAGGGCTTAGGGCCTAGGGTAAGCTTTAGGGCTAGGTTCAGGATTCAGGGCTCAGGGTTTAGGTTGCGACTGCGTTGAGGAACGGCGTGCCCCCTCATGTAGGAGATTCATAAGAAGGCTTCGGCGGGGGTTAAACCTGTTGAAAGCCCCCAGAAGTTCTGCATCTCGGGTCCCACGACACCTTTTGTGTTTGAGGGGCATGCGCAATGGAACCTGCCCTTTGGGGTAGATGACCTCAACAAAACAAAAAAAGGTCACAACCCTAGAAAGGTAGGTTCCGGATGGGGAACCTCTGTCCCCCCCTCCCCCCCCAAACCACACTCGCGAACCCAGAGGCGAAGCAACCCACACCCACCCACCCCTGGCAAACCCTAAACCCTAAACCCTAAACCCGAAACCCTAAACCCTAAACCCTAAACCCTCAAACCTAAACCCTAAACCCGCACCTGACCAATGGTCGAAACTGATCTTCCGCTTCCTCGGCTTCGGGCTTCACAAGGTCAGGAGGCCGAGCTTGGGTGGGTCACCCTAAACCCTAAACCCTAAACCCTGAACCCTAAACCCTAAACCCTAAACCCTAAACCCTAAACCCTAAACCCTAAACCCTAAACCCTAAACCCTAAACCCTAAACCCTAAACCCTAAACCCTAAACCCTAAACCCTAAACCCTAAACCCTAAACCCAAACCCGAAACAAGGGCTGAGGGTTCAGGTGGCAACTTTGTTCAGGTGGATGCTTGACCTAGCCCCTCAGCCCTAAGCCCCTAAACCCCTAAGGCCTACAAGTCCTCTGTAAGGCCCTAAACCCTAAACCCTAAACCCTAAACCCTAAACCCTAAACCCTAAACCCTATAAGGCCTACAAGGGTTACAAGGCCAGTAAGGTTTTAAACCGAAAGAGGGGAGGAGGAGGCCCCACTGTGCCGGATGATGGTTAAGGGATTGTAGGAAAGGAATGAAGAACACAGAGTGATATAAGTTTATGTTCCATTTATTTACTTATATTCCCATTTTGATATTGATATATATATATATATATACATATACATATACATATATATATATATGTATTTGTAAAGGGAGCACTTTAGGACATATATTACAAGCCCCCTTAAAATCACCCATTCATTTCCGAATTCAAAAGGGCTGTATGACTAGGGGTTTTGTAGGAGAATAAAATGCTGCACGAAAAGACCCTCGCTTATTGTAACCGCCCCAGAAGTCCCAACGGAGCATTGAGGTGCTAATTACACGTAAGCTTGCGAGCGCGTGAATTGGCATGCGCACAGCGTTAACGGGCCGAAGATCTCTTCACAGGCCCTGTATAACAAGCCAAGATTCCTATTTCATTACGGTTTTGAGCTTGAGTGTCTTCAGGGTTGAGGGCTTTTTATGGACAAAGGCTCATCTGATGATGTAGCTGCAGCATCTCGGCAAACATGCTCTCCAGCAGATTCGACTGGGCCAGCGTTGAGGTCGAACCCGAAACCTAACTTTCCTCTGAAGCCCCTGACCCTAAACCCTAAACCCTAAACCCTAAAGTCTAAACCCTAAACCCTATGGACCTGTGATGGGTTCTGAGCTTGAGACTATGTGCTGATAAGGGATCAGGATTCTGGGTTGAGGATTTCGGTGCGAAGGGGTGGACTGACATCGGGTTTGGGGTTTAGGGCTTAGGGTTTAGAGCTTAGGGTTTGGAGCTTAGGGTTTAGGGTTTAGGGCTTAAGGTTTAGGGTTTAGGGCTTAGGGTTTAGCATTTCGGGTTTCGGGTTTCGGGTTTCGGGTTTCGGGTTTCGGGTTTCGGGTTTCGGGCTTAGGTTGAGGGTTAGGGCTGTTCCTCCCCGAAAAGTCCCGAGCCCTGGATCATTGTTTGTCGCTTCAGCGCACCGAAAACTCTTTCAGATGGGCTTTGAGTGCAGAAGCTTTCTCACGAGACCGCGGTCCTTGGTAAACACCCGCACTACAACGAAAAATGTCCCTAAGCCCTGAACATAAATACTGCCATAGGTACCTGAACCCTAAACCCTAAACCCCGAACCCTAACCCTCAACTCAATCTAAGCCCCACATAGGGGATTCCAGATCGGACTCTGTGACACTGCAGGCTTCAGGAGGTAGGGCTTAGGATTCAGGGGGTTTTAACCCTGAAGTGTAATAGAAACCTCAAAAACCTTAATCCCTAAAAACCCTAAAAACCCTAGAAACCCTAGAAACCCTCGAAACCCAAAAACCCTAGAAACCCCAAAAAAAAAACCCAAAAAGCTTAGAAACCCCAAAGCCCCAAACCCCAGCTGCCTCCAGATAGTTCAGATTGCGCAGGTGCAGACCATCCGGTGCCTTTATGAGGGCTGAAATGGAGGGGGGCTCTTTGGGTTAGTTGGTGGCTTTAGGGTTTCTAGGGCTCTTAGGGTTAGTTTGGGGGCTTTAGGGAGTCTAGGGAGTTTTTTAAGGTTGTAGGGCTCTTGGGTTAGTTAGGGGCTTTAGGGAGTTTAAGGGTTGTAGGGCTCTTTGGGGCTAGTTGGGGGCTTTGGGGGAGCTGAAGGGGTTTGAGGGCTCTTTGGGTTACCTCGGGTTTTGGCGATTTTCGGGGTTTTTGGGCGAGTGGCGGTTTTAGAGGTTAAAGGGTCTTAGGGCTCTTTGGGGCTTTGGGGCTTTGGGGGCCTCAGGGTTTTAGAGCTGGGCTTTAGGGGTTTGGGGGTTTTAGGGCTCTCCGGCTTTGGGGGTTTAGGGGTCTAGGGGCTTTAGGGCCCGAAGGGCTTTAGGATTCAGTTGCTGTATGGCTATATACCCTCATTAAGATTATTCTATGTACAACTATAGTTTCCCTGCTGATAACCCAACTAACCACGAACCTCCAAGAGGGATTCTTAATCCGAACAAAATCCTGGCCCTCGAAGCAGCATGAGGGTTCAGGGCTAGGGTTTAGGGTCTAGGGTTTGGGGTTTAGGGTTAGGGTTAGGGTTTAGGGTTTAGGGTTTAGGGTTAGGGTTACAAACATTAGGGCTTCGGGTTCTCAGGTCCAGCCAGAGCAGCAAAGACCACCACGCCCGTGCTGGCCCGGGAGTGCTGGGAGCCTTGCCAAGGGGCGGTCCGACGCAGTCGTGAGCCCTAAACCCTAATGTTTAGCATTGGGGTTTTTAGGGTTTGGGGTTTAGGGTTTAGGGCTTATAACGTTGTAACCCCGCTTGCGGTTCAGGATTTACACACTCTAGGATTTCGGATGGGCTGTGAACCCTAAACCCTAAACCCCAAGTCTTAGACTTTTCACATGGGAAGCAAGCCCGAAATTGTCCTAGACTAGACGGAAAACTCTAAAGCCCCAAGCCCCGGTAATCCAAAATCCCAAGGCTCTTAAAACAAAAAAACCGAAACCCTAAACCCCAAAACTGAGGGGGGACCACTCCACGCACAGGCCCTCCTAGGCCTTACCAGGTTAGCCCTTCTCACCAACAGAAGAAACATATCTATAACTGTGGTCCTGCTAGGCCCAAAGAGATATAATGCTGCAAGAGATCCCAAAAGGTTTAAGGCTTTAGGGTTCGGAGAAAATAAGACCTGGCGCACCGAGCTGACAACTATGCCCTTACGGCCGGGTTGTTAGCTGTCGCTGGCACCCTCTCGGAATCCTGAGAGCCGTTAAGCCCTTACGTGCTTAGCTGAACCCTTAGAGCCCTCAAACCAACAGAACCCCAAACACTGAAAACCCTTCAGCCTTCAAACCCGAAAACCACTCAAACCCTCAGAACCCTCAGAACCCTCAGAACCCCCAGAACCCTAAACCCTAAACCCTAAACCCTCACTCCACGCCACACCCACCGCCTTGAAGGCCCCTGTAGGCGCGCACGGCGTCGGCCAGTGTTCCGGTCCACTTCTGAATCCTCTTGGGCGGGTCACTTTAAAGCCTAAGCCCTAAACCCTAAGCCCTAAACCCTAAACCCTAAACTCAAAGCCTAAACCCTAAACCCTAAACCCTAAATCCTAAACCCTAAACCCTAGACCCTAAACCCTAAACCCTAAACCCTAAACCCTGAACCCACCCTGGGCCCTGAAGCCCTTGAACCTGTAAACAGCCGAGCCTCCTGCAGAAATGCCTCCACCCTACTGGGACCAACCAGAAGTCTACTCATAACCTACTTTTGGGACTCAGGGAGCTTATAAGTACGGTTATGATGTGAGGGTACAAGTGCCCCGAACCCTAAACCGTAAACCCTAAGTCCTAAACCCTAGTCCTAAACCCTAAACCCTAAACTTAAACCCTACACCCTAAACTTGAACCCTAAACCCTAAACCTAAACCCAAACCCTAAACGCAAACCCTAAACCCTAAACCTAGACCTAAACCCTAAATTCTAATTGGGGTTGTACGTGCAAGTACGCCCTAAACCATGAGCTCCCAACGTCCGACGGCCAGACCCTGAGCCCTGAAACTGAAGGCCGGGGTTTAGGGAGGAGGGTTCAGGGTTTAGGGTTTAGGGCTTAGGGTTTAGGGTTTAGGGCTTAGGGTTTAGGGTGTAGGGTTTAGGGTTTAGGGTGCAGGGTTTAGGGTTTGGGGTTTAGGGTGTAGGGTTTAGGGTTTAGGGTTTAGGGTTTAGGGTTTAGGGTTATAACTTGCCATTAAACCCAACCACTGTCTGACTGCCCTTTCGGCGCCTGCGTCTACCAAGGCCCCAGATCACTATCCTGGGCCGGCGTTGGTGAAGGCTTCAAGGTTTAGGGCTTGGCGTCTTGGTTTAGGGCTAAGCGCTAAAGGCTCAGCACTTCAGGAAATTTCGGCCCCTTAGGGCTCTAAACTGTCAGTCTGCTTGTTGGTGTAGAGCTTTCCTTGTTGTCAAGCCTAGAGGGCATTCAACACCTCAAGAATCCAAAACCCCAGGTCATCTGTAGTAGGGTATATTTCTTGTACCCCCAAAAGGACACCAGGTATACACACTCACCAGTTTTAAAAGGGAACCTTATATACACTCACCAAAGACAGGAATATAAACCCTACTTCATCTGCAACAACAGCCACTTCCAGGAGTCTTTGGTCGTCTCAAGTCGGCGCTTGGCCATTTGGAAAAAAGGAAAAGTTTCGTCATTCAGAGGGGTGCTTGGGGGTCGAGGGTTTTAGGGTTCAGGGAGTTTAGGAAATAGGGCTTAAACCCTAAGCCCTAAGCCCTAAACCCTAAACTCTAAGCCCTGAACCCTAAACCCTAAACCCTAGACCCTAGCCCTAAACCCTAACTTTAAGGGTAAGGGTGCAGGGTTTCCGGGAAGATTGCAGCCGTTGGTGGATCCCCCTGCTGGAATCGCATGGCCCGGCGCTCGGGCTGGCCATGAATCCGCAGCTCTACGGTTTAGGGTTTAGGGTTTAGGGTTTAGGGTTTCGGGCTTAAAGCTTAGGGTTCTCCACCCACACCTTCGGCCCCGCACAACCGGGCCGAGACTTTCATTGGTGCCAAAACCAACAATGCGGGTGTCATCACCTGCTACTACTTGGAGGTTCTTGGGTACTTCTCTAACCCCAGTTATAAGTCCACTTAAAACCTACATAGAGGACTTCGAGGGGCTTAACAGTACAGTTGTCCTTGGGGTTATAAGTGCCCATGAACCTCCAAGTAAGCCTTCCTGCCGAAAGGAGGTGGCCCTTTCTGAAAACCCTGAAGTCCAAGCCCCAAACCCAAAACCGTAAAGACTGTAGAAGAGGGCCCCTTCAGAAAGATCCGAAGGAGCCAAAAGGTTAGGGTTTAAGGTTGAGGGTTTCGGGTTCAGGGTTCAGGGCTTAGGGTTAGGAGGTTGGGCTTTAGGGCTTCGTGTGATTTAGGGAGTTTGATCTACGGAAATCCCTACAGTCCTACAATTTGGATCTCTGCTACAGTGTGCTTCTTGTTGCTCAGGGTGCCCTTATGGTGTAGGGCTCAGGGCCGCGATTTCTGTTGGTGATTCTTTCTTTTGTTTCCTGGGGGGGGGGGGGGGGAACCCTAAACCCTAAACCCTAAACCCTAAACCCTAAACCCTAAACCCTAAACCCTAACGCTCCAACCCTTTAAGGCTTTGGGGCTCAGGGCTTTCTCGGCCGAGAGGCCAGAAGAATCGGAGATGCACGAGCACGATGATGATGGTGCCTCGAAGTGCGGAGTTGAACCCCCGGAAACCCCAAACCAGGGTTTGGGGCTTAGGGGCTTAGGGGCTTAGGGGCTTAGGGCTGAGGGTTTTAGGGTTGTAGGGTTTTAGGGTTTAGGGGTTAGGGTTTAGGGTTTAGGGTTTAGGGTTTAGGGTTTAGGGTTTAGGGTTTTGGGTTTTGGGTTTTGGGTTTTGGGTTTTGGGTTTTGGGTTTTGGGTTTAGGGTGGCTTTTCCAAACACAAAAACCCCAAACCCCAAACCCTGAACCCTAAACCCCAAACCCCAAGCCCTAAACTCCAAACCCTAAACCCTAAACCCCTAAACCCTAGCAACCCGGGGCCCTGCAGCCCCCAGGTTAAAGCCAAAACCCTGAACCCTTCGCAAAACCACAAACCAAGAGCCCTAAAACACAAGGAAGACGTCCACCCTAAACCCAAAACCCAAAACTCAAAACCCTAATCAGCCTAAACCCCAAACCCCAAACCCTAAACCCCAAACCCTAAACCCTAAACCCCAAACCCTAAACCCTCAGAGTTTAGGGTTTAGGGTTTTGGGGCGCTCGTCGAGACCTTGAGACTCCTGGACTACAAGGGTTTAGGGTTTAGGGTTTAGGGTTTAGGGTTCAGGGTTCAGGGATTAGGGTTTTAGGGTTTAGGGTTTAGGGTTTAGGGTTTAGGGTTTAGGGTTTAGGGTTTAGGGTTTAGGGTTTAGGGTTTAGGGTTTAGGGTTTACGGTTTACGGTTTACGGTTTAGGGTTTAGGGTTAGGGTTTAGGGTTTAGGACGCCCCACACCCCGCAAGCCCTGTGCCCAAGAAGAAACCTCCCCACTCGGCGCCGCACAGGAGACATTCCGAATTTGAGCGAACATCGGGTTGCCAACAGCGACATCGGCATCGTTCCTTGGCAAGACCCCTAGGAATTTAGGGTTTTGGGTGTTGGGTGTAGGGTTTAGGGGTTTAGGGTTTAGGGTTTAGGGTTTAGGGTTTAGGGTTTAGGGTTTAGGGTTTGGGGTTTGGGGTTTGGGGTTTGG